GGGGGTGCGGTGTTGTATTGTTTTGTAGAACGCAGGGAAACGGAAAGGAAGTGTATTGCCTGTGCTTCCTCCGTTCAGGGTTGGGAAGCGGGTCCTTGGCAGCCTTTGCTCGCACTTCTGTCTCCAGCTTACTCTGTTCTATGTTGTCTGGAGGGGCTCGGCCCGGGTGAGCTTTCTTAGGAAGTAGGGGTCCAGATTCCAAAAATCTATCGGAATCGGGAGCAGTGCGGCCTCGGTAAGTATTAGAGGGGAATCGGCAACGCTCCGGATCAGCGGGGCCTTCGATAGCTCAGTTGGTAGAGCGGAGGACTGTAGTGGATAACTGTAAGCGGCAATCCTTAGGTCGCTGGTTCGATTCCGGCTCGAAGGACTTCGTACAATCTTTTTAACCTCCACTTAATTCAGCTAGCCAGTGGGGGGAAAGGTTTACTCGAAGGCCGACTGAGTTTGCATGAACACTACCCATGTTCGGTGAAACATATGCAATAAGAGGTCAGAGTACAGTACAACTCTTTTGTCGGTTAAATGCAAAGATATTTACATATGTTTTTAAATAAGGCTTTATTACTATTGCTTACATGTACTTATTACATGCCTACTCTTTACAATTTTGCCCATGGTTCCACTATACTCTGGTATTAAATATTTTGAATTGAATTCGGTTTACCGGTCAGAAAACAGCTTGCAAAAACCTGTAAGGCAAAGGAAAGGGAAGTAGCAACAACCGGGGGATTAGCTCAAATGGTAGAGCGCTCGCTTAGCATGCGAGAGGTAGCGGGATCGATGCCCGCATCCTCCACTTGGCTTTTGCTCATGCACCACAGGATACCTGACCAGCGCGAGATCAGGGAGTGTTTGTGATACACAGAGGAGCAACTCAGACAATGGTTAACCTCACTTTGCCCTTTTATTTTGCAGGTCTTTTCCAGTTTACTTCTTGGTCACTTTGTGTGTTTCGTTCTCCTGATGGGCAGGCCGTTAACAGTCTTCTGAGAAGGCACAGGTGGAACCCTCCCGCCCAGACAATCGGCCGAACCCCCAAACGGCACTGGCTCAGGTACCCGCTCGCGTGCGAGGGAACCCCTGCGTACTGACCAATGGCAGTGAGCTTTACTGGGCGGGTAGCCAGCTGTACCCGTGGCCAATAGGCAAGAGACTTCTTGTTTCCTGGCAGAGCGGGGTCCCGGCACCGCGGCGCTCGGGTTTTGTTTGGGTCCTGGGTGGAGGGCCCTGGTGCCGGGGCCCGAGGTGGCGCCTCGCTAGCGGGAAAGGGAGCGGGATCACCGGCCGGGAGAGAGGT